CGGGAGCCACCCTTCCCCCATCCCTGCGCCCCTCCCCCCCAAACAAGCCTCTCGCAGCTCTGTCCTGCATCCTGCTTTGGCAGGGCAGTGCCTGCTGGTGCCCCTTCACTTTGGTGCCTGGGGCAGTCACCCCACTTGCCCCCCCACTTGCTATTGTACTGTAGACTTGTATGTATTGAGCCAGGTTCCTGGTTGATGTAAATGGGTGTAGCTGAAGTTCTCGCCCTCATGATCTGAAAAAATTAGTAGAAAAATTTCTGGGGGGTGGAAGGGATTTCTCACTGCCTGGCAGCATCCGCTGAGCCAGGACTTTCTTTTTAACAAGTGCCGGGAGTTGGGGCAGCCATTGCCAGGTTGGAAGAGGGGCGGGGGTGGGCCTGGCTTGGCTGATTTGGAGATTCAGCAGAAGCCGAATGTCTGGATCAGATTTGGCCAAATTAAATCAGAATAGTGATTCGAATCACCAAATTGAATCACTGTCCACTGAATCGTCCAAATCTGAATCCAAAGTGAATACTAGCCACTTTGCACAGGCCTGCAGGCCACCACCCCAGCTGGACAGCCCTGAGGTAGACCATTCTTAGTCTTTCTCTCTCTGTCTCTCTTGCTTCCTATTTTGTACGAATATTATTCATGCCTCTGTGCAATGAGATATTTGGAAAGTAATTGAATCATTTGATCCCATCCCAAAGATGAGTGAGGACTTGAAAAAAGAACCACCACTTCAGAAGAACCCCAGAAGAGGCAGGCCACCAGGGATGGGAGTACCACATACCTAAGAAACCAACTAAGATTTGGCTTATACTAACAGACAATACTAGAAACATATATACAGGCAGTCCTTGGACTGACACAATTGGTTCCTGAGAACCGTGTCTGAAGTTGAAACATTGCAACTCGGAACCAATTTTCTCATAAGAAACAATGTTATAAATAGGGGATTGGTTCCTGAACAAAGGCCCAATACCCTATTTTCACCAAAAATACTCCAGAATTTTGTACTTGATCAATCATAGATGAGTAATATAGCTCCATTAATGTATTTATATTGTAAATAGCAATCATATTGATTTGGAAGTACTTCTTTGAGGTGACCTTGCGGGACTTCTTGAAGGGCTCTTGGTTGGACTTCTTGAAGGGTTCTTGGCTGGAGTCTTCTCAGGAGCCTTGGCTGCAGGTTTTTCTGGAGCCTTGTCTGCTTTCTTAAAGAAAGTGTCCAAGGAAGTTTGGAAAGATGATCTCCAGGGAGATGAGTGACACAGTGAACTCATTCACTGGCATGGCATTGCATTGGATCAAGCATTGTAAAGTCAAAACTGACGTAATAAAGTTGAAACAAGGTGTCAATTTATAAACATTGTAAGTGCGAAACATTGTAACTCAAAATGTTGTAAGTTGAGGACTGCCTGTATAGATTATTTAGGTTTTTATTTAAGTCCTCATAGAATTTACCAAGTAATTAGGATTCTTTAAAAATGTATCTTACAGGTTAGAGAATTTTTTCCTCTCCTTTTAGTGGGAAAAAAAATCAATGCATAATTAGTGGATTCCTTAATCATAATAGTGTGATCTAATTACAAATGTAATGGCTGCACGCTCTAATTACAAATGTAACAGTGCCTTAGAACTTTGCAAAAAGGGTGGCAAGAAGCTTGCAGAGGGTGCAGTAGCTTTTCCAGGCAGGAGAGTATACTGTGCACCATGCATACTTTTTATTGGACAGTTTGAACTGAGACCAGAGCCCCTCTGCAAATTGAGGGCTCTGATGAGCTGTTGGTGCACCATAAAAAGAAAAGCAGAGAGCAGGAAAAGAGAAGAGGAGGGTCTGACTCCAGCCTGGAGAGAGAGAGCAGAGGGACAGCCCCCAGCCAGGGGAAAGGGAGCTGAGACTTTCTCAGGAAGCAGACATCAGGACAGGGGAGAGCCTGTGTTTCCCCTTGAGGAGCTGAGTCACCACCAGGTGTGGAGCTGTACAACTTCAGGACACAGGTGTCCAGGAGAAGTGGAGAAGGGGTTGGTCAGCAAAGCGAGTAGGGTGGCTGGGAGGTGGGAGAAGCTGCCAGGTCACAGACCTGTGGTAGGAAGCCCCTGTTTGAGCTCAGGGCTGCAGGAACAAGGACCTTCATAGAGAAATCCCCTATCTGTGGATGGAAGTGTTGGGAGGCGAGGCAATCCAAAGAGGGAGCAGGCTGAAAGGACACAACCCATAGGGGGGTGTGAGAGGACACCTAATTCCATAGTGTTTGCAGAAGCTGTATTTCAGAAGGAATAAAAGAGAGCCTATTGCTTGCAACAGTTGACTGGAGACTCATCTCACAGGGGCCAGGAAGGACCAAGGGAGTTCAGAGTGCCTGGAGCAACAGAAGCCTTGCCTCCACCATCTAGTGGCGGATTGTACTTATAGTTGTATTGCCATTTACTTTATGGGGAGTGGATTTTGACAAGAAGGGAAACTGTTTTAAAGGGTTATAACCATGGATCTGGGTTTTCTGTTTCCCACGGAAAAAGAGAAAACCATAGATGTCCCGTTTTTATCAGAGAAAAAGTGGATTTTACCTTTTAGCAGAGAAACCCGTGAATTTCCTGGTTTTGTGAAGAGCTCTGCAGGCTGGCAGAGTTCCAGCCTGCCAGAGCTAATTGCAGAAGGGTAGGGAAACCCCCAGCCCTGTCTGGAGGGGGAAGGGGGGGCCTGATGCTCGCAGTCACCCAAAGCTTGGATCAGGTTCACTGTACATTCTTTGAACCTGTAAGGGAAGTGGGGCTTGGGGGTTGTAGAGCAGGCTTGCAGGGGAAGCTGGCTGGGGGCTGAGCCAGATCGAGAATGGGGGGAGGGGGGAGTGTCTCTGTGCCCACTCCCAGGAGGAGGGCTGGGGGGTGAGGGAAGCAGTGCCCCTCTGTGGGCCACACATGTGCCACCCAGCTGGATGGGGTGGAGGGAAAATTTTATGCAGCAGCTGCCGCAGCCCCACAACACCACCGCCATTGCCATTGCCATGCTCTATGCTGCTTTGTCATTAGTGTCCCTCTGCGGGCCACACATGCCACCTGGCTGGATGGATGGATGTGGGGTGAGGCTCACATGCTGCAGCTGCCACAGCCCTGTGCTGCCACCCTGCACTGCTTTGCCACAGCCAGTCACGCATACGGTTCTGTGCACAAGCAGCAGCACATGTGCGGCCCACAGAGGGGCACCGATGTGGGGGGGGCTCACATGCGGCAGCCATCACCACCATTGCTCTGTGGCACTGCTGCCACACCACTGCTGCTGCACCACTTGCCCACAGAGCTGCATGTGCAACTGGCCGCAGCAAAGCAACATGGGTTGCAGCAGTGGCTGTGGTGTGGGGCAGTGGCAACTGCTGCGTGTTAACCCTCCCCCTGCATCTGGCTGGATGGTGCATGTGTGGCTCACAGAGGGGCACTGCTGCTACCGTCCCCCTGGCCCTGCTTCTGAGAGCGGGCACAGAGACACACTGCCCCTACCCCCATTCTTGATCTGCTTCCTCCCAGGCCCTTCCCTTTCCCCTGCCCCTTCCCCCCACACACACTTACCTGCTGGGGTGCGTGTGTGTCCATCTGTGCCTGTGTCTGCATGCATGTCTGTGCCTGCATGCATGTGTCTGTGCCTGTATGTTGGTGCCTGCATGTCTGCCTGTGCGCCTGCATGAGCATGTGTGCCTGCATGTCTGAGTCTGTGCCTGTGCATGTCTGTATCTGCATGTGTGCATCTATGTCTGTGCCTGTGTGTCGGTGTCTGTGCCTGCATGTGTGTCGGGGGGGGGGCTGTTG